TCTGTGTGTAAAGGAGTCTGTGTGTAAAAGCTTCTGTGTGTAAAAGCGTCTGTGTGTAAAAGCGTCTGTGTGTAAAGGAGTCTGTGTGTAAAAGCTTCTGTGTGTAAAAGCCTCTGTGGGTGAAAGCGTTTGTGTGTAAAAGTGTCTGTGTGTAAAAGCGTCTGTGTGTAAAAGCGTCTGTGTGTAAAAGCGTCTGTGTGTAAAAGCTTCTGTGTGTAAAAGCTTCTGTGTGTAAAAGCGTCTGTGTGTAAAAGTGTTTGTGTGTAAAAGTGTTTGTGTGTAAAAGTGTTTGTGTGTAAAATCGTCTGTGTAAGAGCGTCTGTGTGTAAAAATCTCTGTGTGTAAAATCGTCTGCGGGTAAAAGCCTCTGTGTGTAAAAGTCTCTGTGTGTAAAAGTCTCTGTGTGTAAAAGTGTTTGCGTGTAAAAGTGTTTGTGTGCAAAATCGTCTGTGTGTAAAAGCGTCTGTGTGTAAAAAGCGTCTGTGTGTAAAAGTCTCTGTGTGTAAAAGCGTCTGTGTGTAAAAGCGTCTGTGTGTAAAAAGCGTCTGTGTGTAAAAGTCTCTGTGTGCAAAAGTGTCTGTCTGTAAAAAGTTCTGTGTATGAAAAACTTTACAAAAATACGATGCAAACTATTGTCTTGTACTAGTCATATATTGTCTTGATACTACTCTTCTCGTCTGCCTATAATATATCTGTAATATATTATCTTGTAATATAGTGTCTCCATACTAACAACAGAAGACTCTGCTCCTCTACGCTCTCGGGCCATCCGTCGTCTAGTAGTTGTATGGCAAGCTTGGGGGCGTGGTCTTGTTGGAGTAATTTCATCATTTAGCTGTCAGAGAAAAATGCACAGTTTTTGAGTATAATACCCCAAAACATCAACATCAATCAGTTACATGTGGTCTCATTGCAATCATACAGCTGATTTGTCAATGATACAGTGTAGTACCACGAAAGCCGTGGTGGGAAAGAGTTCAGCTGTATGTTTTTTTAAACTGTAAATCCCGCTTTACAATTGGACCGGCTACACTGGTATTTGTCCATCAGCATGAGAATCTAAAACTAAAACGCTAAGTTTCCGTGCATAAAACATAGTACTTCTGGTCTTGAATATATTATATATATACATATATATATAATACAAGGTGCATGGGTCGAATTTGTTTTGTTTTTTGTTTTCTTGTGGGGCATTGATTTTGCTTGTATGTCGCTTTGGATCAATATTGCCTCTATACCCTAATTGCAAACACTTTTTTGAGACTGGTTTGACACTATATACGTTCTCACCAAATTGTTCTGTGTGACAAAGTGAGAGTGTTCGTTTATGGTTCGCTTGACATGTTTGATATGTTTAAGTGTTTCCATGTTTCCTCGATTTGTTTGATTTTTTGTTGATTTTGGCATCGCATCCGCACTAGAATCGAACTGGAGTTTGCTGAAGGTTAAAGTTTAGACCATGTCAGGGAACACATCCTCCAGTACATCATCTCCGAGTTGGGAAGCCTTGAGCGAATGGATGCGCAAATTCGAGCGCTCATGGCTGAGATGTTGATGCGAAATTTGGCCAATGTGGAAAGAGCAACGGGAAGTCTTGTGGACCGTTTGGGCCAGGGCAGCGCAACAGTCGTCGCCTTGAATGAAGAACGTTTTGAATCCCATGTTGCTTCCGGAACGCGTCAGATCGTTTCAATTTAATGATTAATGAATTTGGTTGAGATTTCCTGAGCACGCACAAGGCCGTGGCTCGTCAGAGCTGACCCACAGCTGGCAGCGAATGAGTTTTGGCATCTCATGGCATGTCGAAAAATCGCCCAGTGACGTACCTTGGAGCCGAGGAAGGCGGAAATGCGTCAGCCATCCATGTGGGATTTGGCCCCCAACCTCGGAAATTTCCGCGTCGAATTGGCAAGACTGTTGTCAGATTTTTTTGCCCTGTCATGCAGATTTTCATGTAACTGACTTTGGATTGTCCTTCCTACATGTTGCCCAAATCCATAGAAATTTGATGAAATTTGTGGGCGAGCAGAGAAGTATGTCCCATGAAGGGTTTCTTTGCTGCGCCTGAATGGCTGTTTGCTGTGGCTCGGTACTAAGCATGGAATGAACGGCGATGTGAAATCACACGCAAAAAACCGGGTGAAACTGGAAACAGTTTCAACAAGGCATACTCTATTGTTAACTGGACCCCAACTTGGAAAGGGACATGACCCCCCCAACAGATGGAAATTGTTGCTTGCTACTCAATGTTCAAACTGTTTTTTTGATTTGTGTAGATGGTAGAGAGCCATAATTGCCAAGACAGGACCCATCGCATTCAGTTTCATCACGTTTCATGTATTTTCATGCTCTTGTGGACAAACCATGTTAAAATTCACAGCGACTTTGGCAGACTTGGATTTCTTTGGCATCTGTCAGATCAAAGTTGTTTTTAATATTTTATATTATTCTAAACTTATATAATATATTAAATTATTTATTAAGTCAAGATACACAAAAAATGTATCAACCATGTGCTGGTACACCTGATGGACGGTGTGGTGCTTCTCTGAGGATGATCCAGCTGGATTATATGGCCTCGCCATCAGGCTGGGCCAAAATCTACATGGAGAACATGGGATGGGATGGATATAGGATAGGCCAAGTGCAATTGGATCCTACTGTAGATCGGTAGATTGAACTTATAATAGAGAAAGACGTAGGGAGCAGGTAGAGATACGGCCAGGCATGTTGCGAGGTGTATGTTTGGTTGTCCCTCCTTTGCTGGGAGGACGTTCACATTGATACCAGGTTCACATTGATACCGGTTTCACTTGATATCAGACATCCAATATGTCTGTGTCGAAGCCTAATTTTAGTCTCTGTGATGACCTTCACAGAGCCTTAGGCTCAATTTTTTCTCTCTTTTGATATGGGCGCAAGCCGTGTTAGCTGGGCAACGCTCAGCTCGAACCCGAGCAGCGTGTGGAATGCCATGCAAATCATTTAAATTCCACAGCGCGGAGCCAGTGCGATTCAGATGTTTGTGTGTGTTTATAAAGTATGTTTTCTTTTGTGCCGTTTGGACCCCCATGTTCATTCATCCAGTTGGTCTCCATCTTTGGGGGTGGGTTATATTGAATTTCTTGAAGCCAACATGAGGTGCCTAAGCCGCGGCCGCAGCGTTGCACCAAAGAGTGGCAAGGATGCCGCCGCAGGATCGGCGACGTGGGGTCTTCTCTGTAACAACAGGTTGTGGGTTTGAACCAACAGGGTGGAGGGGAAAAACGATCTTGGAGGTGTGAAATCCTTTAATCGCATGTGAGCAGTCTGGAGTCTATTTAGAGCACAAGGATCGACAATATAGTTAATTGTGTCATTTGGTATGATCAACAGTGGAAAAAAGAAACTTTGATTGAGACACGTGCATCTACAATATAAACAGGGATGAGCATCATTTCATGAAGCTCTAACCCGCTATTCATTGGATGTCTTCTGTAGAAATGCGATATGCCCGACATGCCTAATTTAACAATGGATGTGCTCCATGTCTCGGCGCCATGCAAACATGGAGCCAAATGATATCAAAGGATGACCTACTGATTGAACATGGTCATCTTCGTGTCCCACAACAAATCCAAGAGAGGTATTATATCAGGTATACCTACAACTTCGGGCTGAGAAATAGAATTGGGTTCAACAAAAACATCCAGGTCAGGTGAGTTATTTTATTTTCCACTGGCGCGACAGGAGCTGCTCACAACAGCGACTGCCGCATTGTCTAGAGACTTTTGCTACCATGCAGCAACAAAAAAAATGCAGCACCCTGCAGGTTGTGATATGTTATCGTGCTTGCAGAAGTGACTTTGCATGACTTTGCATCGTAAGCGGAAATGAAAGCAACAATTCAAGATACAGGTTCTTAGCAAGGGGGCTGTGTACGTCAGGTATCTTGATTCTCATCCAAGCCATCATGCTATTTGGTTCATGTTTCCAACTCTGTGGCCACAAGCCGGGTATCATGTGCTGCTGTGGTTTGAAGGTTTCTTTGGATTTGATGAACCACGGTGAGATTGATCTTTGTGGGATCAAGACTGCAGGCAAGAAGGGCAGAACTCACTCAGAGATGTGTTTTTTTTTCTGTGGATCAAAGTCAAATGCGCTCGTGGTAAATTGCTGGATAAGTCGCCAAAATATCCAAAATGATGGGTGGCAAAGCAAATGCCTTCAAGATCCTTGAACTATCACCGTTTCTCCCAAACGCAAGACTAGCGATTTGCAGAAAAGAACACAACATGGACAGCAACCGGCGGACAGATATGCAGAAGCAGTGGTGCAGTAATGTGGGATACAGATTAGTGTGGGGATACAGAATTGTGTCCACAGACTCCAAAATTATTTTGTAACTGTGGAAATGATCGAGGGGTACAGTTTTGTGTCCACAGGATTTTGGTGTAAGTTTGTTTTCATTTTTTTTGTTTTTTAGTTTTTAATTGTTTTTTATTTTTATTTTCAATTATAATAATTTTTATTTTTAATTTTTTTTAATTTTATTTTAAATTATTGTTTATTTTTATTTTTAATTATATTAATTTTTAATTTAATTATTTTTTTTTATTTTGTCTTAAATTATTTTTTTACTTTTATTTTTAATTATAATAATTTTTAATTACAATAATGTTTAATTATAATAATTTTTAATTATGATTTTTTTTAATTATAATAATTTTTAATTATAATAATTTTTAATTATAATAATTTTTAATTTAATTATTTTTTATTTTATTTTAAATTATTTGTGATTTTTACTTTTAATTATATTTTTTTTAATTGTTTTTTAAAATTGTGTCAGGATACACAATTGTGTCATTGTGTCCGGATACACAATTGTGTCTTGGTCTTTTTTTGTTGTTCAAACATTTTTCATTTTTTTTTCATTTTTTAAAGCTTTTTTCTTTTACTTTTTATGTTCCATCATTGAAATTTTCCCCAGATGCCTTCCACAGAAAATTAAATCCAGGTACACAATAGTGTGGTTTGTTTGGAGGGTACACTATTGTGTCCAGCTGCTTTCCTGAGGTCATGATTTTTCGATTTTTTCAATCATTTCCTTTACCTTTTCCTTTGCTAAAGTTTTTCTTTTAATTACTTAATTACTTTCTTAGTTTCTTTCATTTGAAATTCTCAGAAATGCCCAGTTTTCCAAAATATATGATGCCTTATTAAAACCCAATTAAAAAACACCACTCAAACAATTTTTCAAGGGGGTAGTCCATGAGCAACCCTGATACACAATAGTGTGGTTTGTTTGGAGGGTGCACTATTGTGCCCTGCTGCTTTCCTGAGGTCATGATTTTTTGATTTTTTCAATCATTTCCTTTACCTTTTCCTTTGCTAAAGTTTTTTTCTTTTAATTAATTACTTTCTTAGTTTCTTTCATTTGAAATTCTCAGAAATGCCCAGTTTTCCAAAATATATGATGCCTTATTAAAACCCAATTAAAAAACATCACTCAAACAATTTTTCAAGGGGGTAGTCCATGAGCAACCCTGATACATAATAGTGTGGTTTGTTTGGAGGGTACACTATTGTGTCCAGCTGCTTTCCTGAGGTCATGATTTTTTGATTTTTTCAATCATTTCCTTTACCTTTTCCTTTGCTAAAGCTTTTTCTTTTAATTAATTACTTTCTTAGTTTCTTTCATTTGAAATTCTCAGAAATGCCCAGTTTTCCAAAATATATGATGCCTTATTAAAACCCAATTAAAAAAACATCACTCAAACAATTTTTCAAGGGGGTAGTCCATGAGCAACCCTGATACATAATAGTGTGGTTTGTTTGGAGGGTACACTATTGTGTCCAGCTGCTTTCCTGAGGTCATGATTTTTTTGTTTTTTTCAATCATTTCCTTTACCTTTTCCTTTGCTAAAGTTTTTCTTTTAATTACTTAATTACTTTCTTAGTTTCTTTCATTTGAAATTCTCAGAAATGCCCAGTTTTCCAAAATAAATGATGCCTTATTAAAACCCAATTAAAAAACATCACTCAAACAATTTTTCAAGGGGGTAGTCCATGAGCAACCCTGATACACAATAGTGTGGTTTGTTTGGAGGGTACACTATTGTGTCCAGCTGCTTCCTGAGGTGATTTTGTTTTTTTTGCAATCATTTCCTTTTCCTTTTCCTTTGATAAAGTTTTTTCCTTTTAATTAATTAATTACTTTCTTAGTTTCTTTCATTTGATATTCTCAGAAATGCTCAGTTTCCCAAAATATATGATGCCTTATTAAAACCCAATTAAAAAACATCACTCAAACAATTTTTCAAGGGTAGTCCATGAGCAACCCTGATACACAATAGTGTGGTTTGTTTGGAGGGTACACTATTGTGTCCAGCTGCTTCCTGAGGTGATTTTGTTTTTTTGTTTTTTGTTCAATCATTTCCGGTGTAAGGGCCGTCCTGGAACCTACTGCCTGAAGTTTCATTGGACAGGGTCAACTTGCCCTTCCCTCATCCTTTAGGGGCTCTTGTGGTTGACATGAGCATGCCGCGCCCGGTTCAATGTTTTGAAACTTCAACAGTTTAGTTGCACTGCTCAAGAACTTCTGCAGTACTGTGCAACCATGTGCAACCCATAGCCGGTGTATCACAGCTCCATTGCTTGGCGTCCCCCTGTCCTGAATGCTAGATATGATAGACAGCTACACCGGCTGAATCAGCCAGATGAGCACATGGACATGAGCCATCACAGAATATTGAACAATATGATGCAGCAATCAACATGTACCATGAAATACGGTGAGCACAACGCCTGCTCTTCACCAGCTATGATGGTTGTGCTCGATGGCATGATGGCATCGTTTCCGCACATGAAATGCCACAATATGCCGCTTGAAATGCCATGATGCGCCATGCAGTTGCTCTTGGTGACGTTTCTCTTCGTTTGTGCCTCTGCTGAGCTGCGTGTCTCGAAGCGGAGCACGTTCACTGGACAGGAGAGCACCTCGGCTGCGGTTTTCGGGGCTTGGTGGTGGTTGCTACCAAGCAATTGAGTTCATGCGCCAGACTGCCCAGATGCCGGGCTCGGACCAGGCCGTTTCTTTGGAACAAAGGTTCCTACCTCCTCGTAAGTTGTGGAGATTGCGTAACAGGCATAACATATTCAATATATCATTAGATTCATTAGATGCCGGACTATGCAACAGACACCTGTTGATGTGTTGCCTTGCCACAATATCTACTTTGTCTTTAGCCAGTGAAGTTTGTCTCTTAATTGGCCATCAACCGAAGCTGCAACTTGCCACTAACAACTTCCACTAATTGTTTATTTGGTGAAAAGGCTTGGTGCCACCGGACGCACAAGAATCTTGTCCTGTCAGCTTTGTTTGCTTGGACTGTTGGATTTGCTTTGCCACCCTGCAAGGTAGCCACCCTGTGCCCCATCCGGCAGATGGAGCTAGTGCCAGACATCTGCAGGCGGGCCGTGCAGTGCACAGTAATAATTCGATGTTTCGTCGTGTTCTGTTTGATTGTTCATATGTTTTTTTCTATTTATATACAGTCCTGGAAATTTCAAGACTGACATGTTAGGATATTTCTGACGATTCTGTTATATGATGTCTTTGGGTATCTTCCAGGCATAATTGCTGGAGACACACATCACCAAGTTGTGCAGGTTTTGTGCAGTCCCCACTTGCAGGACTGTGAGGTTATTGGCTGGGTCGAACTTTGCGAACGGAAGAAGTTGACGGCCAGGGCGTGCTTTCAACTCGAGTGGCTCAGTCACAAGGGGGACTTGATGGGTTTGTTGCAGGTTGGCAAAGTCATTGTTGGGCCAAAGTTTTTTCGACATGTATGGGGAGTATTGCGCTGAAGACTTCAATGGTTTGAAGACATAATATGCTTACAATTTTATCCATGGGTGCCTGCAGAAACCTCGGAGCTCTGCAAAAACCGAGGCCCACCGCGGAAGCTCCACTCTGCGAGCTGCAAGGGCCCCATGGGGCACCGGCGCAGCTGCGGCCAGCGACTGCCGGGATTTTGACCTTGAGATCTGGGGAGCTACGCATCACCGGGTGCCTTGCAGGAATTCAGCTCCGAGGCGTTCGATCATGCTGAGGTGGGGAAGTTGGGAGGCACTCAAGTTGGATCGCCAACAAACCAGTTTACCTTTTTTGGTCGTCTTGAAGTGCCTAGCTGGCTTCGCTCTTCATATAGCGGAGTATCTTGTTGGGTGTCAACAATCTACATCAGATGTAAACCAAGGCATCTCAGGTTCTGCTAACAACCTACCCCAGGTAAATTTTGACACGCTGGCTTCAGTGCAGAAACTTCGAAAGCTCCCAAGGCAAATTCAGATGACGTCGCTCCGCCTGGCAGCCAAGAACCCTGCCTGCACAAGGGGCTGAACTCAGCAGGTTCAGAGCCTGTTGCGGTTGTTGTATATAGCAAAATGTTTTTCTTATATAGAATGCTTCACAAAGACGCGCCGAGAATGGTACGGGAGTTGGATGTATTTAAGCATTCAGAGTTCAGAGTACCATGTGAGACCAGATTTTTTTCTGCAAAAAAATCAGCTGAGTGAGGACTGTGAACTTTGCAGATGCTCACGTGGAAGCGTGGCATGAAGGTCCATCGGATCCAAATGCTACCGCACTTGGCGGCGCCTTCTTCAGCGAGGGCTCATTCACTTTGACCAGGTCCCGACTGACTGCTCCTTGGATTGTTTTGGCAACCAGGTTTTCAATTTCCGGTGTCAAACATGAACTTGGAAGTTCGTGGAGATGCATTGTCTTTGGACCTGGATATGGTCTAGAAGTTGTCGATCAGTAGACATGCTGCAGATACCCATGTGATGCAACATCCAACGAAGGTGAGAGGATCCGCAGCGGCAGATGGTGGTGGCTTCGCAGCGGGCGGAGACCTGACCCTGGGCATTGCAGAGCGCAGGTGTAGTCGTTGGATGTAGTTGGGCTATGACACATGGTGGTATCTGAGAATTTCTGATCCAGTAATTTGTCAGTTTTGGATCCACATGCATTCATTATATATTTGCTGAGGAAATTCCATGTCACCACAACATGGTGAGAACGTGCCAGCTACTCGCAGGAAGTGTTCATTCTGCAGTTTTAGATTGTCGCTTGGGCCCTTGGGCACTTCAGTATCTTCTGGCATTTCACCTTCTTTTGAGACACATTTTTTCCGTATCTTCCGGCATGTCAATTCTTTTTGGACATGTTTTTCCAAAAATGGATTTGTGAAATTCATGGCACATGCGAGGGGGCAGTGGTCAAAGGTGCAGCACTAGGAGATCCTTAGATCCTTTAGGAAGGCAGGCGGACTAAGGAGCAGCACAGGACACAGTCGAATTCAAAAAAGGCCATGGATTGCAGAAGGGGATTCGTCGTCGTTTGTTGTCCATGGGAAAATGTGGAAGCTGTAAAGGTTTTGCTGATCACAGAGAGAATGAGAGTAGAGCCAAAGCATGTCAACGCAGCGGAGAGGTAAGAGATTGTTGGTGCTTCCCTTGTTAGATACGCCAAGAACATGTGCTTTTCTGGATGCTCTTGGCATACAAGATGTAATATTCATTGTGTTGTGGTGCGTATGACCCTTGTGATGTTCATGCCTTCAATGAAATGACATTCTGTGCCCAAGGAGTGTGTTCCAAGACTCTGAAGTCGTGATCGAGAACGTTTCAGCAAAGTCTGGTGCTGGCTTCGTTGTCATGGGAGATGCTTACATTTTTGTGGGGCACTCAGTGCATTCGCTGCCATGCTGGAGAGCTGTGTAAACAGTCTTATTCACAGCATTGAAAGTTCCCATGAATTTCTTTTGACTCCCAGGGACATGTTGCTGTGAAAGACATATATATATATATCTATTGATTTGTTTGTTCTCTCAACTGACCCTTGTGCGATTGCTGATTGGGTCAGGACAACTCAATGATCTTCATTCAGAATGCGAGATCCACAAAAAATGGAGGTGGCTTCTCAACCAGAAAACGCTTGCAGGTGTCCAACAGCTCAGTTATCAGCCTTCAGAATGTGACCGCACAAAACCATGGAGGAGGTTTCCATGCCCTTGGAGAAGTTGAGATAGCTGGGAACTCAACGGTCAGCATTTCCGACAGTCAAGCTGAATCAGGAGATGGCGCAGGTTTTAGCACTGAGAAGGGCTTGAAATTGTCCACCGGCTCAAGGCTCCTTATTTGGAACGCGACGGCTGGAAATTATGGAGGAGGATTCTATGCCAAGGGCAAGACGCTGATCAACAGCTCTTCAGTGAGTATCCGACATACCACAGCCAAGCACTATGGTGGAGGTTTCATGGCTCTTGACGAGGTTGCCATTGATGAGATGTCAAACGTTAGAATTTCCAATTCAAAATCAGCCGAACAGGGCGGAGGCTTCCAATGCAACAGACGCTTGCAGGTGACCAACGGCTCAGTTGTCAGCCTTGAGAACGTGACTGCTGGAAGTCATGCAGGAGGTTTCACTTCCCTTGGACAGGTTGAGATAGCCGGGAACTCAACTGTAAACATTTCCAGCAGTCACGCTGAATCAGGAGACGGAGGAGCCTTTCGCACTGAAAAGGGCTTAAAGGTGTCCACCAGCTCAAGACTCATCATTCGGAATGCGGCTGCTGGAAAGTCAGGAGGAGGATTCTATGCCAAAGGCCGGGTTGTGATCAGCAGTTCCACAGTGAGCATCCAAGATGCCACAGCCTCAAGGTATGGTGGAGGTTTTGATGCGCGTGAGGAAGTTGTCATTGATGAGATGTCAAGCGTCAGCATTTCGAATTCAATATCGGGATGGGGCGGAGGCTGCCATACCGACGGACGCTTGCAGGTGACCAACAGCTCAGTTCTCAGCCTTCAGAATGTGACCGCACAAAACTATGGAGGAGGTTTCAATGCCCTTGGAAAAGTTGAGATAGCCGGGAACTCCACGGTCAACATTTCCAACAGCCACGTTGAATCGGGAAATGGGGGAGGTTTTGATACTGAAATGGGCTTGATGGTTTCCATGGGATCAAGACTCATCATTCGCAATGCGACTGCTGGAAAGCACGGAGGGGGATTCTTTGTTGATGGCAGAATATTGATCAGCAGATCGACACTCAACATCCAACAGGCCAGCGCCCGTCGGTATGGCGGAGGGTTTGATGCGCTTGACGAGGTTGTCATTGACGGGATGTCAACTGTCCTCATTTCCCATTCAAGGGCAGCAGAACAGGGCGGAGGCTTCCAAACCGAGGGACGCTTGCAGGTGACGAACAGTTCAGTTCTCAGCCTTCAGACCGTGAGCGCCAGAGGCAGTGGAGGAGGTTTCCTTGCCCTTGGAGAGACTGTGATTGCTGGGAAGTCGGTGGTTAACATTTCCAACAGTCATGCTGAATTGGGAGATGGTGGAGGTTTTGACACTGAAAAGGGCTTGAAGTTATCCACCGGCTCAAGGCTCATCATTCGGAAATCGGCTGCTGGACGGCATGGAGGAGGGTTCTATGCCACCGCCAAAGGCATCGTGATCAGCAGGTCTACAGTTAGCATCCAAGATGCCACAGCCTCAAGGTATGGTGGAGGTTTTTATGCATTTGGTGAGGTTGTCATTGATGAGATGTCAAGCGTCCGCATGTCCAATTCAATCTCGGGATGGGGTGGTGGCTGCCATACCGACGGACGCTTGCAGGTGACCAACGGCTCACTTCTCAGCCTTCAGAATGTGACCGCACAACACCATGGAGGAGGTTTCAATTGTCTTGGAGAGGTTGAGATAGCCGGGAACTCCACGGTCAACATTTCCAACAGCCACGTTGAATCGGGAAACGGGGGAGGTTTCGACGCTGAAAAGGATTTGAAGCTGTTCAATGACTCACGACTCATGATTCGGAAAGCGACAGCTGGACAGTCTGGGGGAGGCTTTTATGTTAAGGGCAGAATATTGATCAGCAGTTCCACAGTTGGCATTCAAGATGCCACCGCCCGGCAGAGTGGCGGAGGGTTTACTGCTGAAGGAGTCGAAGTTGTGCAGAATTCTATTGTGGCCTCGTTCAGCACCCATGCGGGGGCAGGCGGTGGTGCTTTTTCTGTGTTTGGTTTGACTTTGCACAGAAGTTCGATGTCCATCAGCAACTCCACTGCACTCGGATCAGGCTCTTCAGCTCGTGCAGATGGTCAAGTGCTTCTTTTGTCTCAGTCAAATTTGATGGTGAAAGACGCGCAAGGACAGGAAAACTCCAGTGTGCTGGCCGCCAGCTGCCTCCACCTACGTGATCGGTCGCAAGTTCTTTTTGACGGACTTGTCGGTGGCCATGGGGTGGAGCTGCAAAACAATGGAAGCTCTGCCCTTTGCTCAAACAGCACCTTCCATGTTGCAGAGGATGCAGCCCTCAACGCCAGTGGTCGCTTGAGCTCAGGTTTTCTCTCCCTTGCAGCCTGCCCGAAGGAGAAGGTACGTCTCTCAGGGATCCATTTGCGCTCCTGGTCCAGCGCGTTGCTCAGCACCCGCCCAAGCTCCGTGGTGGTTGACCAAGTGAGTGTCGAGTACAAACCACCGGTCAACAATTTGCAGGTCCTGGCAGCCAAGGACGGGTTCAGGCTGTCAGTGTGAGACACTATCAGATCTGCAAGCCGATGTCTGGACTGGACGTCTTTATCAAAGCTGCGGACATATTCTGGATGTTGGGGGTTTGGCTATACTTATTGAATCTTATTGAAGTATATCTGTGGGGAAAAAAGTTGTTCTGGCAGGTCGGACCAAGGTATGTTTGTTTCTGGGCTCTGCTTTTCCAGTCAAATTGTTTCATGCAAATCAGCAACTTGTTGAACAAACGTCGCCACAGGACGGCTTTGAGATCGACTCTTTGACGGTTTCCTGCCAGAACTGCACCTGGGGCGTGACTTTCAACGCTTCGAAGGACAGAAGTCTGAAAGCCGTGAGCTCTGAACACCTGCAGTGCCCCAAGACAGTCACAGCGCCCCTTGGTGCCAGAAACAGCTGAACAAATTCAATGGAACGGGCAGCGAGCGTGGCCAGTAGTGTTGGCACTCCGTCCACTTTCCACCAACATCCACCAGCTACTGTAATCTTTGATCCCCATCCCCCTAGGCCCTGCTTCGGAGGGGGGTCAAACAAATGTAAGTTGTAGGTATTTGTAGGTTCCAAGACATGGTTTTTCTAGGGGGTCTTATGTGTTAAAATTATTTACTCTTCCCAATCTCTATTCCAAGTACCGCAACCCATTTCCAGTGAATTCCGGAACAATGCATGTTTCATGTGCAATTTGTTGCTACTTGCTTGTCAATGTGCCAACATGTGCTTAACTAGTGTTTGGTAATTACTAGTATTGTTTAATTAGTTTGCATTGTTTGCATTTGCTAAAAACAGCGTTGAGGTCGAAAGGCTTGGCGCAACGTTGCAAGTGTTCCAACTACCAGTCTCTCAGCTTTCTTTGGTTTTTTGCTTTCCTCTCGGTTTGTGAAAGGAATCCAGGCGAAATTCACATGCCGATCAGGATAAGCCATGTGAATTGTCATATAATTTATATCACGTAGAAGCCATGCTTTCGCAAGATTTTGAAGACTTCTGATTTCCAGACAAAGTTTAACACCCCCAACTGTGTATTCAATTGTTGATCGTTTTTAAAGGGCTGAACAGTACTTGAAGCCTGCAGATGGCAGATGGAAGGACAGTAACCGAGCACTTCCGCAATGTAGATCTGGTGCCCTTGGAAAGCAGTTTCCAGACGTGCATGTTCTGCAGCTCGTCCTGCAACATGTTTACCCCTTGGAACCCTTTGGCCCTTTGGAATTTTGCGTGCAATCGGTTTTAACACGTTTTGAACCCTGCCCTCTTTGTAGCTGAGGCAAGCCTCACTTCCACTTTCAGAATGGCGATTGCCCGAAATGCGGAATCTTCAGTGCTTGGTCTGATGGCAAGAAGGATGTTTGTCACGTTCTGCCACGCCAGAACTCGGCAGAGTTGTTCGCACTTTTGACAGGTGCAGCTGTCGTGGTCATTTTAACTTTCCTTGCCTTTGAGATTTTGCATGCTCCTTTGATGATTGTTGATGCGAAGTCAGATTTGGACCCAACACAAACTGAAAGAAAGAGGATTTTCACAATTTCCGTGCAAGGGTCAATTGTTGATCTTCCCAAAAGCCTGTCTCGATTGGTGACCCAGCGGATGCACTTTCGGGTAAGAGGAACTGGGTTAATATGGCTAGACTACGACCAGAAGAAGTCCAACACAATCAAAGTTCGAAGTATTGCACGCAGAAAGCTTTTGCTGCAAGACACGAGTCCCCCATTTGATTGCGCTTCGTGCAAGGGTTCTTTGCACGCCTCTGATTTTGCTTACCTGCTTACCTTGCTCACTGCATGCATATTTGTTGGTGCAATGCTGCCTGTCATCATCAAGGTAGCAGTCATATCAGAAAACGGTGTGGGACATGTATTCGCCGCTTTGGCCTGCAAACAGAGCTGTTTTGGCGCTTAGAGAAAGCTAGGTGTTGTTTTTATGGGTTCGATTTGTGTTTTGTGTTTGCTTTGATGGCCAAGGTTACTGCATTTTATGTGACCCTTCCTCTGGTTGCTGTTGCTGCACTGCTGCATTTTCCCGTGGCATGGCTCATCCAACGGCTATATCGTAGAACGTTGTTTTCGGAGGCTTTGGATGATTACCGAAAGCAGATCAACTGCAAGCCATTCACAGGGCCTGATGCAACCCATCCTCGCAACCAGGGCTTGCAGGTTCTGAATTTGCGCGGCTTGTGGAAGCACTTCGAGAGTTTCTCTCTTCTCTTTTCACTAGAAAGGATTTTGTCGAGCTCCATTCGTGTTGAAGGGGTTGTAGATCGGAAACATATGCTCACATGGTTTGTTTCACATTTTGGATCTGAATAGTCAGACAGAGGATTTTTGTTTGTTTAAGTCAGCAAAGAACCATAAGAGAAAATTGATGTCCCAACTTGTTCAACTCAGGCTTTATTCTCGAGCGCAATATGCATTTTGTGGTTGCCAACATAGTGAGGCCCCTAACGGCCCTAACGCAAAGCAAAGGAGTTTCCTTTGTAAGTCTTTGGGGTGGCAGGCGGGTGGACTACTTTGTGTCACTTGACCATTGCTTTGGCTAAAGTTTTTGAAATTGTTTTTTCATGTTGTTTAAACTGTTGTTTCCTTTATTTTTCCTGTAACATTTGTGCGCCTTCTGTCCAAGCCGCTCCAAGCCTCTATGGTGTTCTGAAGGTCCCATTCCTGGGGCGCCAGCTTTCCGCACTTCGTGCATTCCATCCAGTGCCATGCTTTGTCCAAAGAGGGCCCCACTTCTTGGATGGATGCAGCATATTGGATCTGTTCGTTTGCAACTTGGAGAAGAACCGGTCTTCATGGTGTCATGTGCGTTTCAGGAATGTTGGCAGTATCTTAATGTTTTTGTTTTAGTTTTTGCCACGAATCAGGGATGTTCCCCCCTCCTATACGCACCAGACAGACTACAAGACTACAAGACAGCGTTTATTGTGCGAAACTTTTGTGCCTAGTGCAATAGTGCCTATTCAGAAGAATGTTTTAAGGGGGAAATGGTGTGAAAGGAAACGACATTTGCCAAAGAAGAGGAGTCACCTGTGAACGCAAATTTGTGTCTTTCGCACAAATAAAACACATGGAAGCAATTAGATCCGAATATTATATATTCTTTATTACTTAATACATTATTATAATATATATATATGCTATTATTTGATATTATTTGTTCTTTTGACTTTGTCATGTCAACATGTGCAATTTAAAATCATGTTGTTGAAAGGTCTGACCGTTTGACCAGAAATGGGCGTGACTATGTGGTTTTGTATATTCTAATTCTGGCTAGTTGTGCAATTCAAAGCAATTAATATTGTTCAAAGGTCTGACATGTCTGCTCATACGATTTCATGTGTTCATGTTATTTCACATGTTATTTCATTTCCCTTATGCCTTTTGTGTATTTGTTTTGGGGATTCATCTGTTTTTTTTCCGCTATGTTGTTTGTGTAATTTGTCTTTAGGTGGTAGCTCTCATTGCCCTTCTCTCAGGCATTTTCTTCCGTAATCGCCCAGGCGAACAACCAGTGGACATTTAAAATCGAACTGGGAAGCGATCCCATGGAGAGTGCCTTTGCACTCGCCTTGACAGCGGGAATCAAAGGAGTCGCGATGGTCTTGGATCAGGAAGTGCAGCCTCTCACAAGTGACTTGACCAAAGGAACATTAATCATCATATGTACAATCATGTTATTCAGTTGCTTTGCGTTGCTTCTTTTCCTACTTCTGCTGTTCTGCTTCTTTGTTTTTTTCTTTGCGTTTTTGCTTCTTCGCTTTTTTGTTTGGTCGCAATTCTGTTTCTTCGTTCCTCTGCTTTTCTGCGTTTCCATGTGTTTTTGCGTCTCTGCTTTTCTGCTAATTAAACATTAAACCAACCCAAAAAGAAATCTTAAATAGATTTTAAGCCAACCCTAAATAAGCCCAAAACGGCCCTAAACCAACCCTAAATAAATCCTACACCGACCCTAAATAGAACCGTAAACCAACCGGCCACAAGCAGCAGCATTTGTAGCGCAAATGATCGAAAACCTAGCCCCTGCGCGATGTCTCCTATAGAATCCCAGCCCTGTAAGATAAAAACAGGGAACGATTCCCCGAACGGAATAAAACAGAAATCCCATCCTCGACCAATGTGGGAGAGCTGCATAGATTCAGCAGCATTATCCATAGGATCCATGTATGGTATATATGCTAACATTTGGGGTATATTGATGGTAAATGTTACCATATATACCATACATGGATCCTATGGGTTATCCTATGTGAGTTCTGTGTGTATCCCGGTTGATCTCCTTGCATTTTTGCCCAAACGCTTTGCCCAGAAAACAGAGACGTCCCGTACTGAGGAGTTTGGTGTCTCTTCGAATTTTTCCTGTCAAGCCGTGAGCACTTGGAGTTGGTTTTCGTCACCAATGCCGGTGTGGTGGGTGATGCTGCTTGGCCGAAATTGGTTTGTCTCAAAAAGTTTGGAACCCGGCAACCAGCTGTTGTTTCCATGAGAAAAGTCTTTGCGGGATTGTCATTGCACATGTTGCGGGCAAGTTTTTTTCCTACATGAGTACATGTGGTTACTTTTTACTTTTTGTCGAATTTGTGAGTTTGTGTAAGTCAGAAGCGGGGCCTGACGGGTTGCAAAAGTTCTGAAAGGCCGGCAGCTGCCTTATAGGGCTAGATGGGCTAGCTATGACATGAACAATGTTCCCTTTGCTGCAGGATGGCTGCAGCTCCTTTGACATTGCGTTGGAGGTGGGCAAGAAGATAGAGTCTTTGCAAGTTGAAACGTGCGAGGCATCTTCAGAGGACGATAAGAAATTTGATTGCACCCAAATCCGCACGTTTCATTCCTCGCGGAATGAGAAATTGCCATTGACTCCTTGTTAGAAGAACCAGCCGTGCGAGGTGAAATTTCAGCCTGCAGGTGACTGAAACTAATATAGCGGACAGTTGAATTTCGATTGAAATCAAATGAAACCAACTGACACAAACGCAAGGTTGGACTAAATTAAATAGTACCACATGAATTTGCCCCTATAACAAATACCGGGTCCACATGTGCCACATGGTCAGGGTTGAGGCATCCTGATTTTGGTTCAAACTTTGAAGTAGATGAAACATGTGCAAGAGGACGATAAACCATGATGTTGGCAAACAATGATAGAAACTTTGTAATGAACGAGTTGTACTTCGAATGTGCTGCATAATGTCCATAGCCCCATCCTTGTCACTTCGAACAATTAATATTTTTCTGAAGCCATCTATTTGGAATTATGTGGCAACAAATATATGTTTAGCAATCATGCAATGCTTTAGCTTTCCACACTTGTTTAGTGTTTAAATAAATGAAGGAGACAACGTGGGAGACAACGTGTGCACTCCAATGACAGTGGTTTCATGTTTTGTTTCAGGAGCATGCAAGCCGTTTGCTTCGCGTGTTGTTTTGCCTAAGGGCCGACTCAGTTGATTCCTATATATGTGTTCTGTCTAATATATTAGTTTGTAACAGACATATAATGTGGGGAGGTGAGTTTTCATCTTGATCACAGATAGGTCCCAGGTATTTGATTAAAGTATTCCTGGCCAAAAAATGCTGCCAAGACAACATTGAAAAAACAAGTTTAAACACATTGGATCCAGATACCCTCTCACAAAGTGTTTGGTCTAAAAAGTTGCTGAGAATAGTATCGAGATTGAAATTGCCCCGGAATGGTCTCGCATCTCCAAGACAGTGACTGTGGGCAAAAGTTGTGTCAATTTTGGCATCTTAGCAAAACCAAATGCAACAGACTGTGGTCAAAGATAAATTTCATGGCAAAAAGTCAAAGATAAAGTGGTGTTGCAGCTAATTTGCTGTAATTATAGAACTTGAACCATTTTTTAGGCAACATAAACTATGTTTGGTAGACTCAGAGATCCAGGCATGACCCATTTAAGCGGAATGAATAATATATAGCTTCTGACTTGAAAGGTTTTTTAGTTGTATGGCAAGCTTGGGGGAGTGGTCTTGTTGGAGTAATTCCATCATTTAGCTGTCAGAGAAAAATGCACAGTTTTTGAGTATAATTATAATACCCAAAAACATCAACATCAATCAGTTACATGTGGTCTCATTGCAATCATACAGCTGATTTGTCAATGATACAGTGTAGTACCACGAAAGCCGTGGTGGGAAAGAGTTCAGCTGTATATTTCTTTAAACTGTAAATCCCGCTTTACAATTGGACCGGCTACATTGGTATTTGTCCATCAGCATGAGAATCTAAAATTAAAACGCTAAGTTTCCGTGCATAAAACATAGTACTTCTGGTCTTGAATATAATATATATATATACAATATACAAGGTGCATGGGTCGAATGTGTTTTGTTTTTTGTTTTCTTGTGGGGCATTGATTTTGCTTGTATGTTGCTTTGGATCAATATTGCCTCTATACCCTAATTGCAAACACTTTTTTGAGACTGGTTTGAAACTATAATTCTCACCAAATTGTTCTGTGTGACAAAGTGAGAGTGTTCGTTTATGGTTCGCTTGACATGTTTGACATGTTTAAGTGTTTCCATGTTTCCTCGATTTGTTTGATTTTTTGTTGATTTTGGCACCATATCCACACTGTAACCCAACTGGAGTTTGCTGAAGGTTGATGCCTGGACCATGTCAGGAAAGACATCCTCCAGTACATCATCTCCGAGTTGGGAAGCCTTGAGCGAATGGATGCGCAAATTCGAGCGCTCATGGCTGAGATGTTGATGCGAAATTTGACCAATGTGGAAAGAGCAACGGGAAGTCTTGTGGACCGTTTGGGCCAGGGCAGCGCAACAGTCGTCGCCTTGAATGAAGAACGTTTTGAATCCCATGTTGCTTCCGGAACGCGTCAGATCGTTTCAATTTAATGATTAATGAATTTGGTTGAGATTTCCTGAGCACGCACAAGGCCGTGGCTCGTCAGAGCTGACCCACAGCTGGCAGCGAATGAGTTTGCATCTCATGGCATGTTGAAAAATCGCCCAGTGACGTACCTTGGAGCCGAGGAAGGCGGAAATGCGTCAGCCATCCATGTGGGATTTGGCCCCCAAGCTCGGAAATTTCCGCGTCGAATTGGCAAGCATGTTGTCAGATTTTTTTGCCTGGGTCATGCAGATTTTCATGTGACTTTGGATTGTCCTTTCTACATGTTGCCCAAATCCATAGAAATTTGTGGGCGAGCAGAGAAGTATGTCCCATGAAGGGTTTCTTTGCTGCGCCTGGCTGTTTGCTGTGGCCCGGTGCTAAGCATGGAATGAACGGCGATGTGAAATCACACGCAAAAAACCGGGTGAAACCGGGAACAGCTTCAACCAGGCATACTCTATGGTTAACTGGACCCCAACTTGCAAGGAAAGGGACATGACCCCCCCAACAGATGGAAGTTGTTGCTTGCTACTCAATGTTCAAACTGTTTTTTTTGATTTGTGTAGATGGTAGAGAACCATATTTGCCAAGACAGGACCCATCGCATTCAGTTTCATCACGTTTCATGTATTTTCATGCTCTTGTGGACAAACCATGTTAAAATTCACAGCGACTTTGGCAGACTTGGATTTCTTTGGCATCTGTCAGATCAAAGTTGTTTTCTTATCTAGCTTATATATTTTATATTATTCTAAAATTATATAATATATTTTAATATATAAAATTATTTATTAAGTCAAGATACACAAAAAATGTATCAACCATGTGCTGGTACACCTGATGGACGGTGTGGTGCTTGTCTGAGGATGATCCAGCTGGATTGCGCGCCTCGCCATCAGGCTGGGCCACAATCTACATGGAGAACATGGGATAGGATGGATATAGGATAGGCCAAGGTAAATGCAATTGGATACGTCCTAGATCGGTAGATTGAACTTATAATAGAGAAAGACGTAGGGAGCAGGTAGAGATACGGCCAGGCATGTTGTGAGGTGTATGTTTGGTTGTCCCTCCTTTGCTGGGAGGACGTTCATGCTGATACCGGGTTTATTGGAAGCTGCGCCATGCAAATCATTGAAATTCCACAGCGCGGAGCCAGTGCGATTCAGTTGTTTGTGTGTGTTTATAAAGTATGTTTTCCTTTGTGCCGTTTGCACCCCCATGTTCATTCATCCAGTTGATCTCCATCTTTGGGGGTGGGTTATATTGAATTTCTTGAAGCCAACATGAGGTGCCTAAGCCGCGGCCGCAGCGTTGCACCAAAGAGTGGCCAAAGACGCCGCCGCAGGATCGGCGACGTGGGGTCTTCTCTGTAACAGGTTGTGGGTTAGAACCAACAGGGTGGAGGGGAAAAACGATCTTGGAGGTGTGAAATCCTTTAAGTCTATTTAGAGCACAAGGACCGACAGTATAATTAATTGTGTCATTTGGTATGATCACCAGTGGAAAAAAGAAACTCTGATTATTGAGACACGTGCATCTACAATATAAACAGGGATGAGCATCATTGCATGAAGCTCTAACCCACTATTCATTGGATGTTTTCTGTAGAAATGCGATATGCCCGACATGCCTAATTTAACAATGGATGTGCTCCATGTCTCGGCGCCACCCAAACATGGAGCCAAAGGATATCAAAGGATGACCTACTGATTGAACATGGTCATCTTCGTGTCCCACAACAAATCCAAGAGAGGTATTATATCAGGTATACCTACAACTTCGGGCTGAGAAATAGAATTGGGTTCAACAAAAACATCTAGGTCAGGTGTGTTATTTTATTTTCCACTGGCGCGACAGGAGCTGCTCACAACAGCGACTGCCGCATTGTCTAGAGACTTTTGCTACCATGCAGCAACAAAAAAAAGCAGCACCCTGCAGGTTGTGATATGTTATTGTGCTTGCAGAAGTGACTTTGCATGACTTTGCATCGTAAGCGGAAATGAAAGCAAGAATTCAAGATACAGGTTCTTAGCAAGGGGGCTGTGTACGTCAGGTATCTTGATTCTCATCCAAGCCAGCGTGCTATTTGGTTCATGTTTCCGACTCTGTGGCCACAAGCCGAGTATCATGTGCTGCTGTGGTTTGAAGGTTTCTTTGGATTTGAAGAACCACGGTGAGATTGTTGAATGGGCCGCCTATCTTTGTGGGATCAAGACTGCAGGCAAGAAGGACAGAACTCACTCAGAGATGTGTTTTTTTTCTGTGGATCAAAGTCAAATGCGCTCGTGGTAAATTGCCGAATAATTAACTCGCCAAAATGATGGGTGGCAAAGCAAATGCCTTCAAGATCCTTGAATTATCACCGTTTCTCCCAAACACATGACTGGCGATTTGCAGAAAAGAACACAATATGGACAGCAAGCGGCGGACAGCGATGCCGAAGTGGTGGTGCAGTATTTGAGCAAGCGACTTGTCAAAAGAAAAACGTGTGCTGGCACTGATGGCAAAGATCTCTTTAGGCCCTTGCTCACCATCGTATCCCGATCCTCATCCTCATTTCTTCCTGTGTTTTACCATGTGGTCCTGGGCAGAATGCCTCAAGTGTCATTTTTTTATGGTCACCCTTCCCTTCCCCCATCCTCCATGGGCTGTTGTGGTTGACATGTGCATGCGGCTCGCGGCGCAATGTTTTGAAACTTCAGTTTAGTAGGTCTGCTCTTTGCTCATGAATTTCTGGACAACTGTATGATACCCATGGCTTGTAACTTGCAACTGCCTGGTTTTACCCCCTGGCCTCAATGTTTCCTTGTAATTACACATTAGCTGAATCAGACCCACGGGCACATGGACATGGTCTATGACAGAGTCCTCAATAGGATGCAGCATTTATCAGCATTCAACATGGTGAGTGCAACGCCTGATGCCTGATACACCATGACTTGGCGCATGATGCAGTGGCTCCTCGCAACGGTTTTCGTCATTCTTTCTCCTGCTGAGCTGCGTGTCTCGAAGCAGAGCACGACTGGACAGCAGAGCACCCCGGCTGCGGTTTCGGGGCTTGCTGGGGGGGGCATTGGTCAGGCCGTTTCAACAACCCGTGACATGGGGAGCTACAACAGGCATCTAGTAGATGTTGCATGGCCACAATGTCTACTTGGGGGTCTTTGCCAGCCTTTGCCGTGAAATTTACCGTAAGGTAGCCAGATGGCCATCAGGTGAAGTGGCAACTCGCAACTCCAACTCCCAGAATTGGTAGATGTGTTCAAGTTAAACAGATTTGGTGCCATGGGAGGCTCAAATATATATATGTTTATCAGTGTTCATCTTTGTGTTTTATTGGATTTTTTGCTTTGCCGCCGCAAGGTAGCCACCCTGTGTCCCAACCAGTAGCTGAAACGGGTGCCAGACATCTGCAGGTGGGCCTTGAGGGTGCCCAGTTAACTTGTTCTGTTGTGCCCAGTTAACTTGTTCTTGTTTTTTTTTCCGGTTACCTTCTTGGAATTTCCAAGACCCAAATATCACCGAGCTGTGCAGTCTCTGCTCACAGGACTGTGAAGTGATTGGCTGGGCGGAACTTTGTGAACGAAAGAAGTTGACGGCCGGGTGCTTTCAACTCCAGTGCCTCGGTCTGCAGGGGATCTGAAGAATGCAATGCTTGCGTGTTGGTTGTGGGTTGGATATGGTTGGAAAATGTTGGAAAAAGGGGTTAATCCCTTCCTCCTAATACTAAACCCCCCCCCCCCTAATACAAAACACGGCAAGTAGTTTTTAGTATTAGGGGGGTATTCATTATTAGGGAACCAAAATATTGCCAAAAATGGCAGTTCGAAGCTTACCCCTAATACTAAATTAAAACCCTTAATAATAAAAAACATTTTTTCCGATCTCAAAATCAATTAAATTTCCTTATATAACGCAATTAAAATATTGCCAAAAATGGCAGTTCGAAGCTTACCCCTAATACTAAATTAAAACCCTTAATACTAAAAACTATTTTTTCCGATCTCAAAATCAATTAAATTTCCTTATATAACGCAATTAAAATATTGCCAAAAATGGCAGTTCGAAGCTTACCCCTAATACTAAATTAAAACCCTTAATACTAAAAACTATTTTTTCCGATCTCAAAATCAATTAAATTTCCTTATATAATGCAATGAAAATATTGCCAAAAATGGCAGTTCGAAGCTTACCCCTAATACTAAATTAAAACCCTTAATACTAAAAACTATTTTTTCCGATCTCAAAATCAATTAAATTTCCTTATATAACGCAATTAAAATATTGCCAAAAATGGCAGTTCGAAGCTTACCCCTAATACTAAATTAAAACCCTTAATACTAAAAACTATTTTTTCCGATCTCAAAATCAATTAAATTTCCTTATATAACGCAATTAAAATATTGCCAAAAATGGCAGTTCGAAGCTTACCCCTAATTGCTAGAGTAGCCAGGCAGCTTGGAGTGAGGGATTGGGACTAGGCCCCCCTAATACTAAACACCCCGGGGTGAACTAGTTTTTAGTATTAGGGGGGAGAACCCACAAATGGTAGGTTGATTTTTAAATTGTTTTTTAAAGGGGATCAATTAAAAGTCAAATTGGCCAAACTGAAATTTTCGGAAATTGGAGATGGATGCCTGTTTTTAGTATTAGGGGGACGTTTAGTATTAGGAGGAAGGGATTATGTTTGGGCCAAAGGTGTTTTGACATCAGATGTTTTGTCTTTGGTTTGTCCTGCTGAAGACATGCACTGTTTGGTTCCGGAAATTCAGAGGTGTCAGTTGCGCTCCTTTCCCATTCTTCCGAAGCTTGTCGGGTATTGCAACTTTATGACCTTTTCTAAGGACCTAAAAGGCGTTAATAATGTTAAATATTTTTCATAATGAAACTTTAACACATACTTCATTCATCTTCATTGAATTCCTGCAGAAACTTCTGAGTCCCGCGAAAAACCCAGGCCCACCGCCGAAGCGCCACTCTGCGAGCTGCAAGGGCCGCACGGGGCGCCGGCGCAGCTGCGCCCAGCGACTGCCGGGATTCTGACCTTGACATCCGGGGAGCTACGCATCACCGGGTGCCTTAGAGGAAATCATGTCTGATTAGATGATGTTTCTGAGCCAAGTTTGGTCACGGACCTGCTTGGTCGTCTAGAAGTGCTTGGCAAGCTTCCTTGTTCTTCAAGAGAATCTTCCAAAGGTTCCTTCAACGGATGTAGTTTGACCCTTGTCACGTTAGATTCCATGGATATAATTAATCGGTGCTGAAACTTCGCGCAGCTCCCAAGGCAAATTCAGATGACTTCTCTCCGCCTGGCAGCCAGGAACCTTGCCTTCACCAGGGGCTGTAGATAGCGAGTCCAAAACAATTTGTGTTTTCTTTTTATTATTGCATTACAAACAGTTTCTTATAGAATGCTGCAAAAAGACACACGCAGAATGGGGGATTTATTTCATGCAGAGTTCAGGGTGCCATGAAGAATTCAACTGAGGACTGTGAACTTTGCAGATGCTCACGTCGAAGCGTGGCATGAAGCTCCATCGGATCCAAACTCCACATCTGGTGGCGCCTTTTTCAGCGAGGGGTCATTCACTTTGACAAGGTCCCGCCTGACAGTTCCTTGGATTGTTTTTAAATTCAGGATTTGTTTAGCTCTTAGTGTCAGAGTCTTTTCTTGAAACTGCATCAATGGCCGTGGAATGATGGATGATTTTGGAGTAAGCTGTTGAATGATGGCTGTGGACACGAAGTTGGGATGCTGCAGATACCCATCCGACAACAGACGAAGGTGAGAGATGTTCCGGCTACTACTATGGATGGTGGTGGCTTCGCAGCGGACGGAGACCTGACCCTGGGTGGCATTGCAGGGGCACAGGTGTAGTTGTTGGATGCTGTTGGGGTGTGGGATGCAATGGACCACGGTGGTATTTGAGTTTATTTGACAATTCTTGATCCACCTACATTCATTAAGTATCTGCTGAGGGAATTCCATCTTACCAACATGGTGAGAATTTGTCAGCTATGAAGTTTTCATTCTGCCAGGGACGGTGGCTGCGATCAGGTGGTCTTGAGGTTTGGGTTGTCCCTTGCGCACTTCAGTATCTCGTGACATTTCGTTTTGTTTTGAGATACGCTTTTTCCGGAGATATTTATGTGACATGTGTGAACTTCATGGAACATGGGATGCATGGGGCAATGGTCCAAGGTGCAGAACTAGAAATCCTTAGATCCCTTAGGAAGGCAGGCCGACTAAGGGGCGGCACGGGACACAGTCAAATCGAAAAGGCCATGGATTGCTGAAGGTGATGTGTCGTCGTTTGTCGTCCATGGGAAAATGCGGAAACCGTAAAAGGTATTGCCGATCGCATGGAGAAGGAGAGCAGAGTCAACGCAGAGACGCATGTGTAAGTACGCCAAGAACATGATTGGCTTTTCTGGATTCTCTTGGCATACAAGATGCAATTTATCAATATTCATTCTGTTGTGCTGGACGCAAAACTCCTCTGATGTTCACCTGTTCAATGCGATGAGATTCGGTCCCCAAGGAATGTGCGCCAAGACTCTGAAGTCGTGATCGAGAACGTTTCAGCCAAGTCTGGTGCTGGCTTCCTTGCCACGGGAAATGTTTACATTTCGGTGGGGCACTCAGTGCGTTCGCTGCCATGCTGAAGAGCTGTGTAAAAGGACGCTGTTGGTTGGGCAGCGGCAAAACAACCAAAATCCCAACTCAGTCACCGCCTCACGAAGTGCGGCTGAAGTCGCGCTAAAGCAGCCTTTTGCTTGGGCTGCACCACGATGCCATTCGGCTAGTCTCGCGAGAGAACCCTCCCTTGAACCAGGTGCAAGGAAGGAAAAGGAAATGAAGCATGAAATGCCATTTGTGTAATACGCAAATCACACTGGTGAAAAAGTAAGAAGGATCAAAAGTTCAGGTGAACGATCCTCTCACACTTGCATCGGCTAAATCGCCAATTCGCCATGCTCCAGGTGGGGCTGAGGCACGAGCATCGCCCTTGAAATCATAGTCTGCCTTGCCTATGTGCTTTGTACACAACCGGCAGGCTTGGCACCCATAGATGGTCTGTTGCCCATCTGTTCTTCCAAAAACGCAGTTCAGGTCAGCGTGCCATATGTTGCTGTGAGGGAGGATGTAGATCTCCGTGTTCTCCAGCATGCGCACGAAGTCAGGGCGTAGGTGCTCGTATTTCGCTTTCCAAAGGCGAGCTTCATCTCGGGCATCAATTGTCAGCTGCTGCTTCTTCATGAGCTCGGCCTCCAAAGACTTTCGATATTCTCGAAGAGTCATCACCTCCTCATACATGGCGCGGAAGGTCGCCTCATCTTCCGGGGTCATGACCGTACGTGTGACCACACTGGAAGGGGCTGTCTCTTCCTCTGGTTCAGCTTGATCTCCTTGATGTCGATGTCGTCGATGTAGCATCACCCAGCCGAAGAGCAACATCATGATCGTCGTGAAGATCATGAAGAGGACCTTGAAGGTGTCCAGGAGGTAGTGCTCGGTCAGGGTCTGCGCGTTCACATTGGGCATCTCTGTTTTGGTGTTGTTGGTCTTGTTGTCATAGTCCAGGGCGTTCACGACGTTCACCAAGCCAGCGAACATTGCTTGCATCGCCCGTCCAGGCTTCTTGATGGCGTACATCTCAGCTCCTTTCTTGCGCTCGTTGGCCGTCTTGCGCTTGGCAGCTTGGAAGGTCAGGTCGGACTTCAAACGGGTTTGATGACTTCGAAGACGATCTGCCAAAAGTTGGGCTGCCGACTCCTTCGTCAAGCCATCTGCATACTGCAGCTCAGAGCTAACCCATGAAGTGAGGGCTCCACAACACTTCAACTTGTCCTGGGTGACCAAAACCTCAATTGTGGTTCTTTTGTCAGCTCCTGTCCCAGCTTGCACCTCCTCCTTGATCAGCAGGTCATAGAGGGCCTTGGCGTCGACCACCAAGCGAGGTGCATTGAGAAGCTTGGCTGTGTTCACATCATCCAGAACCAACCATGGGGACCAAATGAGGTTCCAAAACGTAGATGCAAAAAGAAGTGCATCTGCTGCTTCTGAAGCGCCTTGGCTCTCAGCGCTCAAAGTTGAGCGTGCCACTCGTGGCAATTTCCAACTTCTCCAGTCCAACACATTGTACCATCCTTCTTCGCCTTCTGCAACCTTTTTGTTCACCTTGTAAGGTCCTTCTTGTCCCCCAAGTAGCGGTATTCCAATCCAACATCTGCATTGGTTTTCGCCATCCTCAGGGTTTTGTTTGCTGAATTCAGCGTCTTGATTGTGGCCTTGGTCACATCGCCAGCCAGCATAGAGACCTGTGATTGCAAATGCGGTGAGGACTGTGTTGCAGGCCATTGCATTGCTCCAATCAACCCACGTAGTTGTGTCCGCTCACTTTCGGTCACTGGAAGATCTTCTTGATTCTTGCGCTCCTTGGAGATGCTGATAGGCTTTTGCTTGTGCAGGTACTTCTCCTGGTGGAGTCGCCAGTGGTTGTTGTTGACCTTGTCCACCTGGCAGCCGCAATATTCAAGATGATCTCCATTCAGCCATTCACGAAAGCTGAAGACTTCCTTAAGGGACTTCTGGAGCTGCGTGGCGTGCTCATTGTTGGGCATCAGGCACCCAAACAAATCATCCACATGCATGCCAAACATGCCAATCAGTTGCGGTTCCACTCCAAGTGCATGAGCTTGATGAGGATCCTGATCGAAGGCCAGAAACAGGCAGGCATCCAAAGGGTGTTGAATGATGCTGCCCTTGCCAATCTTCAGGATGCGCTCGGTGGCTTCCTCATACCAGGCCCGTGGGGCATCACAAAGGCCATAGATGGGTTTCACCAACTTCATCAACTTTCCGCTGTCTCGCTCAATCCCCAAGATGGTTTCAGCATCTTTGGGAAGGCGCACCCATATCTCACGCGTCCCATCAGCCTTGAAACCCTTGCCTTGCAGGAAGGCTGTGCTCACGTCACTTGTGAACGGCTCCATGCCCAGCATAGTTGCCACTGTAAGGATCAATCCCCTTGACAGTCTGGTCAATGTAGGGCTCGTTGTTGACAAAGATCCATTCAGGGCATCTGGGTCACGAAAACCTTGAACAACTAATCTGGCCTTTGCCCTGGGAGAGCCATCTGGGTTCTTCTTCCAGCCAAGGATGAACTTCGCCTTCAGGATGCGGTCTTCTGGAACTCCTTGACCTTGGTCAAATTGCCAGACGGAGTTGTCAAAGAAAGACTGCAGCTCCTTCATCTTTGCCTCCCTGCAGGCCATCCTGTCCTCAAGGCTCATGTAGCGCTCATTGAGAGGCTGGTTGCTAGGCTCCTGGGCATAGCACTGCTCCAAGTTCTGCTGAAAGAGCTCCTTTGCTTGCTTCCGCCAAGCTGGGAGGATCTTGAAGCGCGTGTAGCCAGTCCATAGGTTGTTGGCATACTTCTTCTTCAGGTTGCCACTCTTCCACTTTTCACGGAACAGACAGTTCCCCATACTCACCACCTTCTTCTTGTCCAGGAAGTGCAATGGCACAGGGCAGGTGTCCTCGTCAGGGATGTAGTCCTGCTGTCTGGGGGCATAGTGACGTCGGGTCAGGTAGTTGCCGTTGAGCTCCCAGGCATCCATCACACTGTCGTCAAGGACCATGTGGCCATGTTCATGTTTCCATCCTCTGGGCAACTTGGTCTTCTCATTGAGATCCACCGTGAAGGAGAGTTGGCCATCTTCTTCATCATGTAGAGGTCGTTCTGAATAGGGTGTCACTCTGGGCAAAGTCCGTGGAGCAGGGCCATACGTTCGTGGCAGGACCATTGCCTCTTGTTGTTCATGTCGTCGTCGTTGTTGTTCAAAAGTCGGTCGGCCAGCTTGTGGAGGTACTTGAGAAGGTTGTGCTGGTTGAGCAGGTTGTGGGGCTTGTTGAGGTTGTGCAGGAAGAGGTTGATCTTCAGGAAGTAGTGCAGGAGGTGGTAGTCGTCCATGTGGTGTAGCTTGTTGGCCTGGTGGTTCTTCCATCGGTTCCATCACGCTACCAGCAGGTGTTGGCAGCAGGGTTTGTTGATCTTGTCCATCATCCATGGGTTCGGCCAAAATGGCCTGTGTTACTGCATTGTCTGAAGGGCCTCCACCATCAGCTCCTCGCATGTCATCATCGTCGGCGATGCTCGGGCTCGGAGACCTGATGTCGGTCCTCTGAAAGGGGCAGTAGGATCATCATCTGGTCCACCATCGCCACCAGAAGTGGGTCCACCTCCGCTAAAGAGCTGTCGCATCTCCCCATCTGAATCGCTGGTCTGCAAGCCAGCGTCCACCACAAAGGTTGTTGTCCCAGTCCAGCTGTAGTGCATCCTCCGGTCGGCATCAGGGCCATTCCATTCATCTCCCACCACCAAAGTCTCGGGATTGGGTCCACCTCTGCGGATGTGGGTGACGCGCTCATTGGTGAACAGGTGGAAGGGAACCTCGTCGTAGAGCAGGTCCGGCACGAAGAGTTGTTGTCGGCCTTGGTTGTGGATCCTGGTCCAGGTTCTTCCATCATCACATAGCTTGCCATCGATCTTGCAAGGGCTCGGCCTCAAAGTCGCCCATCTCGTGGTCAAGCTCCTCTGCTTCATCTTCTGATGCCACTTCTTCTCGCTTGCGCTTGTTGGACTTTGGCAGGTCGATGTAGTGCGTCACACCGCGATTGCGGACTTTCATCAAGGCCAGCTTTGCACGGTCGATGGAGTCCATGGCTCTGGATTCATCGTTCTCAGGATGCATTGCTGGACGAACATGTTCTGGGGCTGCACGAAGAAGGGTTGTGCCATGAGCCAGCCAGTAGATGTCGGCATGGGGTCCAGCTTCTGAGGTTTCCTTCATCACCACCACTGCGGGTCCACG